AAATTTTTGTAGAGATGCAGGTCTCACTATACTGTCCAGGATGGTCTCAAATTCCTGGTCTCAAGACTCCTCCCGCCTCAGTCTCCCAAAACACTAATATTGCAGACATGAGCTGCTGTCCCAGCACCCCCAATCATTGCATTATTAAAGTTCAGCAAAATAAACAAGATTGTCATGTGTCTCTTAATTATATCATCTTCAGAATAAATGAACAAATATAGCAAAATATCAGTTAAAACTATCCTATTATCAATTTGAGTTTTTTAATATATTTGAGTAAATATAAGTAATTTTTAAAATGTGATACTTTATAGTCCACTCATAACTGTGTCACAACTTCAGTGGCCTAGAAACAGATGTTTTATCTACACAGTGCCAAACATTGAGATTAAAATGTCAGATAGTGAATTATTCATTAAGAATTTTGAAAAACATTGCCAGGGGAGAGGGGGTGGACTTGGCAGTTGAAGGAAACTGCTAGGGGAGAGAGGGGCACACCTTGTCAACAAGGGTACCTGCATAATCAACGTCTGTATACCTAACCCTGAATTGTACCCCACAACTTTAAAATAAAATAATTTTGAAAAATAACTAAAACTCACAAGAACTAAATAATTTAATTGATGCAGAATGTACGTTAAATACTCAGCAAATGATGACTATTAGGTTTCCTGGTAATATTACTATGAATTTAATATAGTTTCTTTAATTAACTTTACAGAAAGGACCCTACTATCTTACAGTTGACAAAGCTATCCTTAAACTTCCAATCAATTTGGTTGATACTAATTTATTGGGTTGAGGATGAAGTTAAGGTATAAAATGTTCTGAATAGAAGGATGATTTAAATGTTATTGCAAAGCCTCAATTAAAAATGATGGGAGGCTGAATTATGGACAAGAAAGTGCTATAAAGAAGACAGGTGGAAAACAAGCAATCTTGAGAAGGAAAAACCGGGAAGACATGGGCATTAGGTTAAGGAGGACACAGAAGAAGAAATCAGAAGAGTCTCAGCTTCCTACTGACACGGACATCAGTGACATTAAAGGGATGCTAGGAGGAGGCAAGGTCTTGAGGGAAAGACCAGGGATTCATTTTAGGGCCTGTTCAAACACGAGAAACTGGAAGGACTGTGAGTCAAGTAAAAGAAAGTGGCCAACAATTAGAGACTCCGCTCAGAAGTCCAGAGAAGACGACATTGCTTAGCTTTATTCTCATATGACTGAAACCAGAATGTTCATGCTATTTGTCATTTAACAAAGTCTGTGTAACCTTGCATTTTTTGCTTCGTCCACATATAAGTTAAATGTCTCAATGAGAATTTTATCATGCAGACATGCTGTAAATGGCTTCCTCACTAACAATTGTCGCCCTAACTATCGTTGTAACTGTTGTCTGAATTCTATCACAAATGCAGAAATTCTGTGCCCAGAAGGACTCAAGAGGATCCAGTTATAACATCTTAAGAAATTAGAAAATTAATTTGAGTTATAGATAAGAAAATTATCCAAAGTGGCTGAAGTCAATGAAGTCTGATGGCTTAATGCAGAATTCCCTTTTTCTCACTATCTCATACATCAGTATAAATGATTTGTGTCCTCAGTGAGACCAAACCATTTTCACAAGCAAGAAATGGGTCAGCACCTAACAACACTTAATAGCATAAAGAGGTGTTCAAATAAATTGTTCTTGAATAAAAGTTGTGGAGTTTTTAATCTAAAGTCAAAAGTATAACATTCAGATGCCAGATGTTATCTAGAAAAAAAAGAAAGATGCGGGCAAACACAAGTGATATCTACTGATAAAAGATACACCGAGAACATTCTATACAGAAGAATAGTTCCCAGAATATGCTTACAGCCTTACAGTTTATTTAAATCTATTCAAGCAGCTTAAAAATAAATTAAACTTAAAGGGAAAAAAATTGAGCTTCAATTATGGAAACAATTTTTTGGTTTTTGCTGTCTAAATTCCCTACTATGAACATCAGTCAATAAAATGCATATTTTTATATAATGCTTAGATTTTTCCTAGATTGCTGTATGCTTTTTGTCATTTTGGACTATGTGCTATGGTTGTAATTCCCAGTGCAAAATAGAAACGCAAAAGGCATGACTCTCTTTTTATCACTTATTCTGCTAGTGAACACTCCACAATTGCTAAAGGGAGGGTAGCAAGATTGGAAAATCCTCCTGTAATTCAGGGGCTTTTCCTTTTAATTAGAATGACCTGGTGAACGAAAGGGTCCAAGTCATAAAATGTTCAAGGAATGTTATTTTATTTTGCCATATTTTTCCTATTCTGCCATCTTGGGTTGTGTAAATGCACACACATTCCTTATCTTAAACCTCAAATTTATTCAAAACTTTCTAACTTATGCCCTCACATCTTTCCATCTCTTTATAAAAAAATATATTTCTAACATTATGAAATTTATTTGATAGGAGATGCAAATATAAATTTATTTTCTCTTAAGCTGATATATAAATGCCTCAGAGGGGAAAATGTTTTTCTTCATTGAAAAACTTCTATTTTGTTGTATTATTGTATTCCTATTGCCTGATTTTCCACACGGTAGAACAGAATATTGATGACTACTACTAATCACTACTTTAAAATCTAGTAAATAAAGTGATCAATACTTTTAATTTGAATGTTTTACTTTTAATGTGTGCTCACACACACACACACACACACACACACACACACACGATAGTTAGTTAAATTTCTGTCAACCAAGATATAATTATTGTGTTGGAGATTCTAAAATATATTTTCACTGTGATTACAATGTTTCTGTGTGTGGCAGGGCAAGACAGAGAGATGCAAAGAGATAGTTACAGAGGGACAGGATGTTTTTGTGTTTGCTTGTCTATTTGTCTAATTGCAACAATTTCTGACATTTCTAAAATGCAATGATGTTCATTTAAATTCTATCATAACTTTTTCCAGAATATTTCAAGGACTTTTTTACAAGTGTCATAAATAGTTGAAGAGCAGAAAGTGAGCTCCATACATTTATAAAAGAAGTAAACCAGGCTCGGTGGCTCAGCCTGTAATCCCACGCCTTTGGGAGGCTGAGGTGAGTGGATTGCCTGAGCCCGCGGGTTCGAGACCCACCTGGGCAGCGAGACCTCATCACTACAATAAATCAAAAATCAGCCGGGTGTGGTAGCGCACGCCTATAATTCCGGCTCCTCGGAAGGCTGAGGCGGAAGGATCGCCGGAGCCCAGCAGGTCGAGGCCGCGGTGGCCGGGAGCGGCCACTGCACTCCAGTCTGGGCGACAGAGTGAGACTCCCACTCAAAAAAAAAAAAAAAAAGAAGAAGTATAGCTGGGCTCGGTGGCTCAGTTTGTAATCCCGCGCCTTTGGGAGGCTGAGGTGAGTGGATTGCCCGAGCCTGCGGGTTCGAGACCCACCTGGGCAGCGAGACCTCATCTCTACAATAAATCAAAAAAAAAAAAAAATCAGCCGGACATGGTAGTGTATGCCTGTAATTCTGGCTACTCGGAAGGTTGAGGCAGAAGGATCGCCGGAGCCCAGCAGGTCGAGGCTGCGGTGGCCAGGAGCAGCCACTGCACACTGCACTCCAGTCTGGGTGACAGAGTAAGACTCCAACTCAAAAAAAAAAAAAAAAAGATGTATAACTCACATAGATTTTAAATCAGGAAAAGCAAGACAAAGATTTTATAACAGTAAGCAATTTGAGATAATAAAATATTTCTGACACCATTAGAATAAATACTGGTTACTAAACTACATTGTTACAATTTTAAGAATAATAGTCTACAAGGGATACATTTTTTACCATATAGTATAATAAACACATGAAAACTGATGTGCCACTAGTGAAAAAATATATTTTATACAAAATATGTAAACAAATGGAATACTCAGAAGTTTGATATCTCAAAAGAACGTGTAAGTAGAAAAATATTAAACAATTGATATGATAGGAAAAGAGCAATATCTTTAATGATGCAATTCAATAAGCTAAATCTCTTTTTAATCTGGCCTGTAATTTTAATGAGTCACTCAATCACTTTTATAAACCCCTGAAAAAAAAACTACAAGGAAAAAAATGAATCTGCAAAATCATATTTATCAAATGTGTCCATTTCTAGAGAAACTGAAAGATGGACAAAGCCCACAACAGCACTCCAGATATTTGAGCTGAACTCAGTTATGTCAACTGCTGATTATAAATACAGCAAAAACTCCTAACCTATTTGCAAAAGAACACAACTCCAATGTCAACTCCCTCATGCAGACATGCCATGATTTCCTTAAATGTTTGCCCACATGGAGAATACAGCAGGCAGTCTCCACTTGTACAACCACAACTGACGTTTCAGTTGTCTACTCAAATCTGCCTGAGAATGGACTCTCTCATTTCCCTTACGAACTAGATAATCAAAAAAAAAAAAAAGAGAAAACAATGGCAGGTAATTTTATTAAAACAGTCACCGTATATATCAAGCAGCAGAGGTTTACAGCTATATAATCAGACTGAAGATAGAATGTAAAAAGCAATGCCCATTACGTTGACCAATTATAAATGTCTCTGAACATTGACATATTTGTTCTCAAGGTGGCAAAGCTCACTTGGAAATATGATTGATTGATTTTTAATTTTATTCCACAGTTAAATATAATAGATCACTGTAATAAGCAACATGAATTCCATATCTCTTTAATCTCTGGTTCAGCATTTTGGCTATGAATACGTTGGACATTCTATAATTTTCAATTTCTAAGAAAACATGATATACATTTGCAAATCCTTTCTATTTGGACATTGTTATTTTTCATTTCTTACCCGTAAACATAGTTTATATTTACAAGCTTCTATTTCATAAAGAATAAAATAGCTTTGATTTAATAGTCACACATTAACTAGAAGAATATAGAAGGGAATATAAGTAGTGAGGTGAGTCAATTAGGATTAGGAAATCAAAAACAGTTATTTGGGTGTTATAGATGGAGCTGTGAACACCTACTAGTAACCGTTAGAAACAAGTCGGCCATAGCAAGACCAAATGAATTCTGAGTCACACATTCATCTCTTCCTTGGTCAGCCTGCCCTGCATCGTAGATGGTCAGCAAGTCTTCACCATCGACATGGAATTTACCACTCTCAGTGATCTGCATACATGCCTAGGGAGTTAAAAAAAAAAAAAAAGCTGTCACTGGATGAAAGTATGGTTCCTTTAAAAATAAAATATTTGCATTTTGTTTGAGGCAACTTCATACGTTCAACAAACAACTACTAAGTGCCTGGTATGTGTCAAGCACTAGGAAAGATTCATGAATCTAACAGAAACAAGGAACAGAGGTGGGGGGGAGTTTCCAGGAAGTGTGGTTTGCCTCTCCCTCTAAATAAATTAAATATGATACCCAAAAGTTTGATCTTGTAATTATTTAATATGATGATTATTTTAAAGTCATCACTCCAGTGGATGGACATACACAATTTATTCATATCCTGCTTATTTTTAAAAGAGAATTCTGACAGCAACAATAAATATAAAATTTAACAAGGAAAAAGAAAGTACAAAGCCACCATCTAAAAATATCAAAATGTTTTCATAGTTCTACGAAATATGATATCCCTTCTCTTTCTTCTTTGTATGTACTCATATATTTTGTATAGTTGCACTGGCATTATATATATGTGCATGCATCCCAGTTGAAAATATACTTTAAGAAGATAAAAATAAATTTTATATGCACTATTAATAAAATGCATTATACTCAGTATAGATGTACTTGCATTGTCATCATTATGCTGTTAATTTTTAAAAGTACAAGAAATTAGTCTTCTGAAATTGTAGTTGAAGTGGAGTGTTTCTGTTCTGCCCCTCCACAAAAGACTCATAGGACACCGAGCGTGGGAGATACTTTTTCAAAATAACGCATACTCAGTGATGGCCAGTAGGCGACAGTGTAACTGTGCAGGTTTAGAGTAAAAAACTGCTTCACTGGCCTTCAGATTTTCAGTTTTCCTTTAGCCGGTGCTAGAAAAAAAGTCCCAAGTGATGGGTAGCTGATCGCTCCAGGTAGGGGTTAAGAGGAAGTAGCAAGGACCTGCCAGATGGGTGGGCAGTGAAAGAGACCAGACGTGAGGCATGGACGAGACCACCAGGAGCCCAGGTAACAAGGTCCACAGGGTCCTTCCTTCAAAACTACCCCCTTCACTGTCTCTTGCTAGACCACCACTGAATTCTTCTTTCAAAGTTTTTCTCTTACTCTTTTTTCCTTCCTTCACTTACTTCCAGAACTCCCAGAGTAAATTAATAGCTCTGAAATGTTTGCTCACAGTCTCTGACTAATCAGATAAATTTCTAATACATTCCTTATCTGCTTCTGTTAGGTAGTTTTTATTACTTGTAACAAAGGTATCCTAACCCCTATCTCTTCCAAACTTGTGAACTGAAGAGGACTGTTTGCAGAGTAAACGCAATAGTGTATGCAAAATGGCTGCTACAGAGTCAGCGCTTAATCCATTTGCTTGTGATTAGAAGCTGCCTTTCAAAAAGTAGACACTGAAATACATTACTGATATGATTACACGATTAAGCATTTAGTGGAGTGTCAAATAAGGCTTTAGATACTGATCAAAACATACATTTTCACACTTCCTATTTTTAGCATAAAATATTTGATATAGAATATCACATTTTAAATGGTTTATAAAAAATATTCAGATGATGTGAGAGAATATAAACTGAAAAACTTAACTTTGAGACCAATTATTTACAGAGACCTGCGTGTGATTCTTGGCTATGACCCAAACAAGGCCTTGCAACCTTATGGTAACAACACAAATGGGTCAAGTAGTTTTGGAAAATAGCTTTATAACCTATCATTGATTTCCTATTTGACCAAAGTTTTTCAAACACTTTCCTACAAATATGTACAGATGTGTTGATTTTTAAGAACATCAGCTCCTAAGACCAATTTATTTTGATGATTAAATGAAAGAAGCAATTAGGTTGAAAGAATATAGCTCAAAGAACCAAAGGAAGTAAGATATATAAATAAAGAGATATTGTTTCTTTAAAGCCATTCGTTTTGAAGCTTTAGACATTTGCTTTTCGTATTTTTAACACACCTTTTATTCCTTTTTTATTTCAGCTGATGATTTACTTTCACTTTACTTCTGAGTTATTAACTTAAAATAGTGTTTCATCAGCCATGAAAACTCTTAATTTATACATGACAAAAGCAATTTTCCTTAAAGGAATATAGTTCTGCTGATGAAATTTTCATCACTCAGCACATGAGTAACGATAAACTTTATTAAAATCCTGAGTCAAAATCAGATAGAGTCATTTCAAAAAAAAAAAAGAAGACGAAAAAACAGGAAATAAACCTGCTGCAGTGTAAAAGTATTATTTGCTAACAAAAATCACAACAGCGATAAATCCATAGGAGAATCATTACCTCCGCTTCAGTGGGTCAATACATCTGTCAGTGTTTTTAATATTACTGTACTTTTAGTTGAGCTCTTACCTTATTCCAAGTAATGATGGGCTGTGGTTCTCCTTGAGCATGACTTGAAATGCTTATATTCTTTCCAATCTCCACACTTGTGTTCCGAGGAAGTTGAGGAAACTGGAAAAGCTACAGAAACGAACCAAAATAACCTCATATCGGTATCATTTTTGTCAATATGTGCCAGCTGAGTCAAAAAGCAGGAATCTGGATACCATATTGATGAACCACACTGATGTTTTTAAAAACCAATTGCTTGGACAACCGGATTGAATAACGAGCATCAAGCCCAGACTGGCGGCAATTACAGCAGAGGTGAGAGCAGGAATAAAGGAAAAGGAACACACACACAAGTTTTACCCACACCTGCAATGTATATTTCTTCAGCTGAGTAGTGAACATATGAATTTTCATTGCTCTTCTGAAATATCTTTTGGTAAGTGTGAAATAGTTAATGGTAACATCAAAATGTATTTGTGGCTAAAATAAAAAGATCCAATGCTCCAGTGAGAATCTTTTTTCCTCACAAAACACAAACTGCCACAATTCAACCACCTATAAAACAAATAATTAGAATAGCTCTGTAACTATTAAGGAAATTGTATAATCGTTAAAATTCTCTCAAAAATAATCCCCAGGAGGGAATTAAAATTATTTTTATCAGAAAACTCTGCTAATGTTTGAAAAAAATTAACACCAGTTCTACACAATATGTTCCATAAAAGAAAAGAAGGAATAATACCTCCTGAGTCTTTTTTAGGAGGTTGCCCCTAATATAAAAACTAGATAAAGAGAGTATCAAAAAGAATAAAAACAGGCCAGGTACGGTGGCTCACACCTGCAATTCCAGCACTTTGGGAGGTTGAGGCGGGAGGATCGCTTGAGCTCAGGAGTTTGAGACCAGCCTAGGCAACATAGTGAGACTTTGTCTCTACAAAAAAAATAAAGAAATTAGCCAAGCGTAGTGGCATGCACCTGTACTTCCTGCTACTTGGGAGACTGAGAAAGCAAGATCACCTGAGCCCAGCAGTTTGAGAAGGCAGTGAATTGTGATTGTGCCACTGCACTTCAGCCTGGGTGACAGAGTGAGATCCTAACTCATTAAAAAATAAAAAGAACCAAAAAAAAAACAACTACCATCTGGTACTGCTCATGAATATGTACAAAAAATTATTAACAAAGTGTTGGAAAATAAAATTTATGAATATAAAAATGTTTATACATCATAACCAAGTAAGGTTCATTCCTGGCATGTAATATGAGTTCAATATTTGAAAAATCGGTCAATATAATATATGATATTAGCAGCTAAAGAAGAAAAGTTGCATAACGTTGATGTATAAAAAGTGTATGACTATATTCAACACTCGTTTATGATTTAAAAATAGTGATCTCCGAAAAATAGGAACAGAGATCAACCTGCAGAACTTGAAAAAGAACAACTACAAAAAACCTACGTAAATGTCTCTCACTCCACAAAGGCCTGTAAATTCTAGTCAGTATACTACAACAGCAAAAAAAAAATGTGGAAGGCAAACAGATTGGAAAGGGAAAAATAAAACTGTCCTTATTTGCAGATGACATAACTGCTTACATAGAAAATTATAAGACATCAAAAATATTCCAACGTGTTCAGCAAGGTCACTGAATACAGAATAAGTGTGTATGTATATTTTATTTTATTTTATATTCACTCAATGATCTTATGGACACAGAAATTTAGGAGAAAATACCATTTACAATCACTCAAAAACATGGGATACTTAGTTATAAATCTAACAAAACATCAACAGTACTCATATGCCAAAAATGACAAAATCCTAATGTCAGAAATTAGAGATCTCAGAAAATTAATAGACATATATGCATGGTTTGGAAGTCTCAGGATAGTTAGGATGTCATTTCTTCATAAACTGATATACAAGTTTAATGCAATTCCTATTAAAATCCCAGCAGGATTTTTTTTCATAGATATTACGAGATTATTCTGAATTTATTTGGAAATGCAAAGGAACTGGAATGGCCAGGCAATTTTGACACGGAAATAAAGTGAGCTGGATCAGTCAACTGGATTTTAAGACTGGTTGTATAGCTGTAGTAATCGAGACTGTGTGGTATTGAGGAAAGGATAGACACAGACACAAACAGCAATGCAACACAGAAGAGAACCCAGTAACAGACTCACACAAATACTCCCAATTGATTTGACAAAGGTGCAAAAGCAATTCAACAGTCTTTTCAACCCGCAGCACTGAAGCAATTGAATAACAACAGGCAGAAAATGGAACTTGCCATAAGTCTCAATATTGACTCAATATGAAAAACTTAAACACAAAATGCAAGACTATGAAACTTTTAGAAAAACTAGAAGAAAATCTGTGGAATTTAAAGTCAGGTAAACTCCTTCAACTTTACATAAAAAGCACAATTCATCAAAGGAAAAAAGATAAACTGGACATTCTCAAAAGTAAAAACGTCATGCTGTGAAAGACCACATTGAGAGTATTAAAAGACAGGTTACAGACAGAGAACATATTTGCAAACCACATGCGCACAAAGGACTAGTGTTTAAAATATATTTTAAAAATTCAACAGTAAAAAAAAACCAAACAGGAAACAGGCAAAAAGCATGATGTTACAGAAGAGGATATACAGATGGCAAATCAGCATATAAAGAAGTTCTCAACATTATTAGTCATGAGAAAATGCAAATTAAACCACAATGAGATATTAATGTGTAGCTATCAAAATGACTAAAATAAAAAATAGTAAAATAGTGTTAATACAAATTACTGGCAAGAATGCAGAGATGCTGGATTACCCATACATTGCTGGTGGGAGTATAAAATAGTACAACTAGTCTGGAAAAAAATTATAAAGTTTTCTTAAAAATTTCAACATGCAACTATCACATAACCCAGGAATTACAACTTGGGCACTTATTCCAGATAAATGAATAGATTCACACACAAAACCTGCACCTGAATGTCTATAGCAGTTTTACTACTGATAGCCAAAAACTGGAAACCACCCAGATGGTCTTCAAGAAGTGAATGATTAAACAAACTGTGGATCATCCCAAACATAAAATTCGACTCAACAATAAAAATAATGAATTATGGATACATAGGCAATCTGGATGAATTTCCAGATAATGATCCTAGTGAAAAAGTCAATCCCAAAAGTTTACGTGCTATAGGATTTTATTTATATAACATTCTCGAAATGACAACATTATAGAAATAAAGGACAAATTAGTAGCAGGGACTTAGAAGGTATAAGGGTAACATGAGGGATCCTGGCAGAACAGACATGTTCTGGATCTTGACATGTGGAGGTCAATATCCTGTTTGTAAGATAGGAGTACAGCTTTTTTATTAAATTTTATTTTACTATAGAGATGTGTGGTACAAGTGAAGATTAACTACTTAAGTACGCAAAGTCTGGGTTGCTAACTGGCCCTCCCTCCCCCAGAGTGAGGACCAGGTACACTTGGTATTGTTATGTGCTTCCCACCCTCCTCCCTCCCTCTGTCCCCTAGCAGTGCCTTGTGACTGCAATTCCTCCCTTGTGCTAATGTGAGTCATGTTATGACCCACTTAGGAGTGAGAGCGTGCTGTATTCAGTTCTTTGTTTGGGTGATAGATCACTTAGAATGATAGTCGCCAACTCTACCCAATTTGCTGCACAGTCCATGATTTTGCTCTTCTTCCTGCCTGATACTCTATCGTGTGTATGTATCACATTTTCTTTATCCAGTCCCCTTTTGGTGGACAGTATGAATGGTTCCATGTTTTTGCTGCTGTGAACAGTGCAGCAACAAACATGAGTGCAGAGGTGTCTTTTTTGTGGAACAATTTATGTTCCTCCAGGTATATATCCAGGAGAGGGATTGCTGGATAGTATGAAGGGTCAGTTTTTAGTTCTTTTAGGAATTTCCACACAGCTTTCCATAGAGCTTGAACTAGCCTGCACTCCTGCCAACAGTATAGAAGCATTCCTTTTTTCTCTGCACCTATGTTGGTTTTGGACTTATTAATGATGGCCATCCTTACTGGAGTTAAGTGGTATCTCATTGTAGTATTAATTTGGATTTCTCTGATGATTGGTGAAGCTGAGCATTTTTTCAGGTGTCTGTTGGCTGCTTGTGTGTATTCTTTTGAGAAGTGTCTGTTCATGTCCTTTGCTCCCCTTTTAATGGGTTATGTTTTTCTGTTTTTGTTTTTCCTTTAACTTCATTTGAGTTCCTTGTAGATCTTGAATGTTAGGCCTTTGTCAGATACATAAATCTCAAATACTTTTTCCCATTCTGTGGGTTGTGTCTTTACTCTCCTGGTGGTTTCTTTTGCTGTGCAAAAGCTTTCAGTTTGAGGAGGTCCAACTTGTCTATCTTCACTTTTATGGTATTCGCTTTTGGGGACTTGGTCAAGAATTCATTGCCTATTCCGACGCGCATAAGGGTGTTTCCAATGTTTTCTTTTAGGACTCTTACAGTCAGAGGTTTTACATTTAGGTCTTTGATTCATTTTGAGTTGATTTTTGTATATCGTGATAGGTAAGAGTCCAGTTTCATTCTTCTGACTGTGGTCAGCCAGTTTTCCCAGTACCGTTTGCTAAATATTGTCTCCTTTCCCCAGTGGTTGTCATTGGTGGCTTTGTCAAAGATGACTTGGTTGAAAGACCAAGTTTTTGCTTCCAGAATCTCCATCCTATTCTACTGGTTTATGTGCCTATTCTTGTACCAATGCCGGGCTGTTTTGGTGACTATAGGCTTGTAGTAAAGGCTAAAGTCTGGAAGTGTAATATCTCCTATTTTGGCCCTTTTGCTGAGGATTGTTTTGACTATCTATGCTCTTTTTTGTTTCAATATAAATTTCTGTATTGTCATTTCCAGGTCTGAGAAAAACGATGTTGGTAATTTGATGAGTATTGCATTGAATCCGTAGATTGCCTTGGGTAGGATGGATATCTTGACAATCCATGGGCATGGGATGTTTTTCCATTTATTTGTGCCATCCTTGATTTCTTTGAGCAGTGTTTCATAGTTCTTATTGTAAAGAGCTTATTGTATTGTATTCTTATTGTATTCTCAGGTTGGGTGGATGCCAAGGTATTTCATT